CGATTAGTTAAAATCAATAATGAGCCCATTACAAATGTGATTTAACAAATAAGCATAAATAAACTGGGAATTCGGAGAATATGTTACAAGCAGAAATAAATAGAAGGTATATATGGATAAATAGTGAAACTGGTGAAAAATGAAATATAAATATATATATATGTGCATTATGGCCACCGAAATTCTTCAGCGATTGATCATTGTAATGGACCCTATAGTGGATCGTAATCAATCAGTTTGTATCTATTAATAAGGTTCAGTTAAGCAGTAAGTGATTTTATGAACTGATCCCATATCTTGTTTTAGCCATAACTAGCTTTCTGTAGAAGTACTTTGAATAACTAACCATTTGAATCCTAATTATATTATGTGAATTGTAATTATGCTAAATTCGGTCAAGTTATATTTCAGTCAGTCAGCTACAACGTAGAACCAAGAACATATATCCATCAGTCCAAGTTGCCATACTTTATTAGCACAACAAGATAAACACCGGATTCATAGAAGTAGTTAATTCAGTGGTGGTAATATATAAAAAAAAGATTGCATATAAGGATATATTACAGGAAGGAAGAATTAGTTCGTAGAAAGAAACATATGAAACGATTTTAATCTCATAGTTTAAGGGAAGACAGAGAGTGTATGAACATACGCGGCTGTGATCGATTCTGAGCCATGACACTAAGAGTCTCCAACCATTGGCTGCAATAGTCGAGCAGACTCCAACTAACTAACCTGCATCTACCAACATGGCTCAGACCACAAGTTAGTGACTTCAAGCACTCATGCCACGTTTTGGTTTGGCCACCCCTAACGTTTTTCCAACCATCCCCAACACCAGTTAGCATTGTGCGTCGTAGTAATCGGTGTCCAGGCATACGCAACACGTGGCGCCTAACCATCTCAGTCGATAAAGATTCACAACCTCATCAACTGATTCACCATCATCATTCCCTAATACCCTACGTCTAACCTCACTATTACTTACCTGGTGATATCAGCAGATGCGGGCAATATTTCTAAGACATCTGTGGTCAAATACTAGTAGCTTACGAATACCTTCAACTCTTAATGGCCACATTTGGCAGCCGTAAAGTAAAACAAAACGAACTGCCGCGCAGTATACTTGTCCTTCGCCATAGGTGACGTAAGTTGGAGAAAGCCAAACGACCTTTTCGAATTTGTTCTGAGATTTCATCAGACACCAACCCATTAATGCTGACCAGACTTCCAAGATAAGTGAAATTGTCAACGCGTTGTAGAGTCAAATAATTCTTTAATATAGTTAGCTTAGCAGTTTTACCCCTCCCCACAAGCAAACACAAACAGAATATTATTCCTTACTAACATCATTTTTTTTTTATTTCATTAACAATCTGTAGATTTAACACACATAACCTGACTACATTATTCAGATGAATTTGATATTACTGTCATGAGATTCTGACATCAATTTATCGTCAACGTAATGTATGAAACACTTCAACTTTAAGTGATCGGTATTTTGATGTAGTGAAGCATTAGTGAATTGTACATTACTACACCATAGATAAAAGGGAACCAAGTGGTAAGTTTGTAAATAATTAACGTTAACCTGAGAAAAGTAAATCATACAACGATGGTCTATGCGCCAAATGAAAGATTACAATGAAGAGAATATAAGAATAAAGTAATCCATACTTCTTATAATTATACAATAGAAATGTAAACAATAATTCTTCATAAGGTAGTTCCACGAGTTACAGCCACCTCATAATTTGTCCCTTTATCACACCTACCTATGAAGCTGAGTTAAAAAAAACATTTTCTTTGAAAATTACTAAAACTGAAATAATGTAAAAGTATAAAAGCTTATTTATTCATTTTAACACATAGGTATTGGTACAAGGAAGCACCGAATACATATGCGCCACACAAATCTCAATTGATTTGTGTGAGGGCTGTGATACTGCTCGGGTGCCCAAACCGAAGCAGGTGGTTTTCTTAGGGGGCCACACCCCGAGCCTTTGACCTGAACGTCTGACCCACAAGGCAGTGGAGCATCATAAGGAGATGCAGTCCCATGGTAGCCGGTGACCAACGATTGGTTCATACGCCATTTGTTCCCGCAGGATACTGGAGCTAGCCCATGTGCACCATTGGTTTGGGATCCGGCTAAAGCGCCGGACATTCGCTTTTCGTCCTCTCAATTTCGTAAATAACACCCCTGCCATGAGAAGGCGGTGAGTAGGACTTGCCTGGCAGAGTCTATACACGCGTGGCCATGTGAGAGCGTTTCGAGAGGGTGAGCGGACTCTCCCCACTCTTGGCCGTACCATGGCATTTTCATCAGTTGGATAGATTAATAACCAAACAACAGGACAATATAATTGGAAACTTCTTTTTCATATTCAACTTACAATGAACTAAATAATCAAATTTTTAAAATTTACATCATTTGTAAAAAGATCAAGTCAATTCTAAGATCAGTTACAAATGTAAAGTTCAAATATAATCTTGATGATTCATAAAGATCAAGTTGAAAAGGTCATTGAAAGAGAAATTGAAGTTATGATATGTAATACTAAAAAAAAACAAGGTTAACTAATCAACAAATATGTTATACCCAACAAGTTGATTGGTATTTAATTGATTTTTAGACATAATATATGAAATATGTTACTAAATATAAGAAATTGACAGTAATACTGATCAACACTATGTCTCAGTGAGTATTTAATTGTTCTACCTTTAGGAATGGGTTCACAATTGTTCTTAAAGTTGCTTAAATTTTACCAGCTATTTTAAGCAAGTGTATAGTATCAAGATGAAGTGTACGGTTACTCAGTAAATAGCTTGACCGATATTCAATTTATTTAAAATTGAATAGAAACCATGCATCACTGATAGGTCAGTAAGGTGAGCACAACATATTCATATCTGATGTAGTATTCACTTGAAACAAATGTCATGAATAGATCTGATGTAACTCCAATATAAGTATCTTGCGTAACTACTGCAGTGTCATAAGAAAGCTGATTATCAAGTAATGTTTCCTCCAAATATTCGAATTACCTTAGGCTTTTGCTAACGACCAGCCGTAACATCTCAATCATAAGCATCAGTCTTGTTTTCATTAAACGTCATATGAAGAAATTTTTCGTAGACCAATGGTTCAGGTAATACTGTTAGAAGTGGACGATCGACCGAAGTACAAAGAGGTAGAAAAGTTCAGTTATATTGTTAGATATTTTAGTTAAAAGCCTAAGAGCCTACGTATTGGAAATTAACTGAACCATAAATTAACATTTTAAGCTATTTGAACGACGAGGTGGTGCTCCTCTCACAAATTTTTATTCACACTACTGTGTGTTTAGAGGAATTTTGATGTAGAATTTGTTTTTCTGCGTAAACTTGGACTAGTTAAAAGCGTATATAAATTGTGCTTTTCTAAGTGCGAATTATTCCCAATCATAGATCATTTGTCTTCCTCAAAGATTCTATGGGCTTAATGTTTTGTTGACTGATATTTCCAGCTAAAATTTGTTTTAATTATCCTGAAAATTCAGTTGATCATTATGTGGTGTGGGTTACTTATATCCACATAAGTAGTATATAACGGTGGTCAGGCATAGAATGTATTTCAATAGAAGATCCATAAGGAAAGAACGGGAACGGAACGCGATTGGTATGAAAATACATGTACAATGAAATCTGAGACAATGGACTGATATTTGTAAAAGGAACAGTCAAGTTTGAGACGATGGATTGATACTTTGCAAATTAACCATTTACTATATGGTTCTCAGATTTTAATTAGATGCTCTGTACTTTCGCGTCAAATACATCCGATTGTCCCCACTCGTGTTCTTGTTAACCACAATATTACTAAACAAACCTAAAGCGAGAAACAGCAAAGATACTAATCAAGGTTTAATAAAAGCACCATTTTAAGCGAAACTTTTGGATAGAAAATTACTAAAAGCTTGGAGTCTTATCTGTTTCCAAAAAACTACTGTCTGTCTAAATATAGACGAGTGGAATATGACACTGTCAACAGTGAAAGTTAACAAAGATACGAGAACTTTATTTGACATAAGGACTACTTTGGACACCATTACTCTCTAATTTACTCCCACGAAAATTCTCGATAGAAAACTGAGATTTCCATCGCCATGCTAAAATCAAGTCTTCCTAATTGTAGCATCTTAAAGCTTACACAAAAGGACGTTTGAAGAAACAAATATCAATTTATTGTTATATCACATGTATAATAAATTCAATTTATATAGACATCCATATAACAGACAGTAAATTTCATTATAATTCTCTATTCCATAAGTTGCCGATCACTCAGATAGATTGTCTACCTTGTTGGTCATATTTCTTAATCGTTTATCCTTCTGATATTTTAGTAACTTGTTGAACACAAATCTATTATGACAATGTGTTTCTTGTGCTTGGATATTGAACAGTTACACACTTCCATAACATTCTTAACTAGATTAACTAGATGCGGACAAACACTCAATTTATCAAAGAACTATCTGAGACAATAAATCAGTTTATTTAGTCACTTTGCAAACCAAATTTGTTAAGGACAAGTGCAGTTTATTGAGTAGGAATAAGATAAAATGAATCAAAAATCTCGTAGTTAAGGAAATAAAACTGCTTTACTTGGTCAGAGCCAAATAAAGTGGTAGGTTTTCGTACTTTAACGACTTAGTTTTTATTCTTACAACTCAATGCCAAGTACAGATTTTTGAACTTGGCTCTAAATAACACTTTAAGTGTAAAGGCTATTGATGCTATCTAGTTGGCCAAACTAAAACAAGTGGTTCGAGGTTCAAATCCGCGAACTGATGGCTGAAACTTGAACATCTTAACCACTGAGATATCGCTCAAATAAAACAGAAAATTGAACGAATATCCTATAAAAGATAACTGAGTAAATAGATAAATATAACTTGAATTTAGTTTGTATCCAGAACTTTTCGATAAATAAGTGGAAAAGACAGAGATGCACATTTATATATATTTGATTAGCAAATACAGAATAGTTTTTGACATCTTTGGTAAAACGACGTTTGTGGTAATGGTCGTTCAAAAAGTTTGTTGGATGTAGACTGAAGAGAAATAAAATACGGCGTACAAATTAAGTTATAACACCATGTGTGATTTACACTATGAGAATCTTTAGTATTTTAAGATTAAAAATAAATTAAAGTGGATGCTAAAAATCAAGACCCTACACATATACAATACGAACTAAATTGTAAGTAAACGAACGAAAAATGACAAAATGAACGAATTATCACAGTCCAGACGGACAAAAACAACACATTTATTGCACAATTACAAAAAGTGTGATGCATTTTCACACGAGATCATCTAATCTAACATACGAATCAGCATGGATCATGAATACTGTTTGTAGGGACTGAACAAAATCTTTTTCGAGAATCAGTAATTGAATTAAGTTTGGAAGTTGAAGGTGGTGTTACCATTACAACTGTTTCATCAGTTACCGATAAACTTGGAACGGGAAAGCAATCGCGTTTACTGGGATCACAGTCAGCTATGATTTCAGGTAGTCTATAATCGAGATTTAAAAAAGTAATAACTTTAGTTGGTGCAAACAGATGCATAATATATTCCATAAATATTGAAAAACCAACTCTGTGCATGAATCTCAACAAACTTAACTAAAATGTTAGTGTTACTATTTGGTTTTTCAATTAAAAAGGAACTAATCCTAAATCTGTGAGTAGAGTCCAAGGTTTTGTTCAAAGTATTTGAATGCCCATCTAAATGTGTGTAGTACGATCTAAAAAACTAGAATTAAATAACATGCAAGATACTGATATTTTATCTAGAATATATGATTACACAAAAGTTAATATAGAATGAACTGCTAGTAGAAATTTGAAAATTTGTTAGAAACTACTTCAAATAGATATTTATTGACGAAGAACTGAAGGCATATTAAAGATTTAACATCCCCCTACCTCATAAAAAGGTTTAAGAGCGGTATTGAGGTAAGGAGATACTTAGGCGAATAGTAAGGCAGGAATTGTACCTCGTATAAATGCATAATAAATGCTAATAAAGGAAGAGTTAAAAGTAAACCACTTAACTGTACCTGCTCTTTTCTAAGCAGCGGGAGGCAGCTTCCTTAGCCTTTTCAACCCTTTCTGACAATTCTTTAAAATAAATGTTAGCAGAAGCTATTTGTGGAGCGTCTTCGTTACCAGGCCCAGATTTCTTTTTGACTGTAGACAACTCTATTGAATTATGATGTATAAACCCCCTAGACTCAGACTGAGACTTAACAGGAACTTTTAATGTAGCTATGTTAGAGATATCTGAGCCCCACAAACGATTAATCCATCGCAATCTTTGTACCTTAGAACAATAGTAAGCGAAATACTTTTCTTACTGTTGTCCCAAATTGTACTGCGATTGACACAAGAGTATCTCCAGGTTTAACGGTATATATTTTATGAGGATTTTGTGAGGCATTCGTAGATTCTAGAGTCCCGTATTGTCTTTTAGGCCCAGAGGACAATATAGACGACCCTTCAGACATAAGACATAAGACTATTTAGCAGATTTTCGAATAAAGCAGGAACCTTGAGAGTATTACTAAATAGGTGATTTAAAAACCTCAATATGGGCAACATGTATATTGAGCAGAAATTTGAATTCAAACAGTTTTAAATAACTTCGTGTAAAAATATGATAGCCTTTTATATGGCGTTGGTTAGTAGGCAGTGCTCATAAGTGACTTTCAACGTGATAATTTGGGATTGTATCTAGGTTTGTAGTGGCTGGTACTATGTTAAGACGACATAGGTTATTCTGGCTTCTGTGTAGATCAGTTTGTTCATTCTTTTCAAGCCATTTTTTAGCCTTGTCATTTATTAGTTTATTAACCCTGACTCTTTATATGGTCGTATGTGTATTAATTGCTCTCCTTATTCATTCGTATCTGTAATTGGTTTTCCTCTTACTATAAATATCGAGTAACACTTGAGTGGATTTGTTGGCACACCCCCATCTATGCAGCGCGTCACTTCTTTAGGTCTTGCTTCGCCTTCTTCACTATGTTTCTTTGATTATCCGTCCGGATCAATGAGTGTATGAAATATATATATTCAAAATTCATTTTTGTTATTGGCTTATTTTATTCGTCATTCTCTAACGCGAACTCAGTCAGTAATCATATATGAGGATTGGTGACATAAATATTCCGATAACAACCAGCGTATGACTTAATTGGAGTTAGATATAGGCCAACTAAAGGTTTTCGCTCTCTGGGTCATTGAGCGCGATAATTGGGTTCTATGGGGATATTTGAGTTTGGGGTCACTTCGGGTACTTATTGTATTGTACTTCACTATCTTATTGCCTCTTGTCTTCTAGTAGGCTGGCCAGAGTCGGTATTTAGCCATAGCTACACAACCCATTTTATTTCACTTCGCTGTACCTCGCCCAAGAGATTTCTATCTCTTTTGGAGGAGGTCATAAAGGGAACTGTGATCGTCGAAGTGAGACAGTGTGCATGATTTAAAGAGTTTTGTGGATGACTCTGATGCGGAGGAAACAAACCATTTTTGTGTAAAGCTAACAGTTGCACCTGTTTTTGCTGCATCTTCAATGAAGTTTGAGCTGGTTCCTAAGCTCTTTGTGGTCAATAACCTTTTATAATTCTCTGTGGAGACAACTATGAAGGGAATTTTTTCAAGGGAATAAAGTTGGTGCTCTATGGGCGAAATTAACATGATATAACATTTTGACAAATTTAATTTAAATCTATGTTCCACCAACCATTCCCCTATTTTGTGGTGTTCTTATTGGGCATTAGCAAATCCACTTCGTTTCTTACAACCCTCCACATATTCACGCTATCAAACCAGACTAGAGCGACCAAAATCATTATACTTAGAAGATCGTTAACAGGAATCAAAGGGAGCAGTGGTTTCGAATAAATACATCGTTAACTTATGATGTTGAATACCTCCTGTTAACATACATTTTGCTTATATTAATCCAGAGCACTCAGTTCTTCAAATAATTTTTGGGCCAGAATGGAAATATGTCAGAACTACATCTTCACAGCTTTTACTGTGAGGGGAGTGTGCAAAATGTAGAAATAATGCATGAACCAGTATCTTCCCGTCACAGAATGGTGTCTTGCTATCCTATTCCAGGACCTTCCTTTCTTGAACCCGATTGAGGCCAAGAATCTTGTCGTCTTCGTAATTTTTGTTACTCAGTTGACCATTACTCAGCATTTTTATTATCTTTGGTAGCACTGTGCCATGATCAATACTATCCATTTATGTCGGTACATGAACTTCCTCAACTGGAATCTGATGACGTAATTTTAGGTTGTTTAGTCAGCAAAAATATCTGTCTTCCACTCATCTCATTGCATCGATCACATATTCAGTCAAGCCTGTACTTTTGATAGCGTCCATGAGCTTCTTGAGGAACCGGTCACTAGGCATCACACTTTCTTAATGTGATTTAGGAATAAAGTATTAAATACCCCATATATGAGCACCTGTTCAGACCTTTGGTGAGATAGTAGTGATTGTAGGATACTTGTTATTGGTCTTGGATACACTGATCATCCTACCTGTGTTCCTTCACTTTGTACACACATTTTTGAGCAGTGTTGAAACAAGATCTGAGCAAAGCACTTGTTTGTGTGATTGATCATTAAGATTTCGTTGATTATTTTGTACTCATTCTTATGGATTTTCGTCAATGTAAACAAACATTTACGGATTTTTGTGCATGATTACTCTGTAACACTAATAATAAATAGTTTGTCTTCGGTTCAAAATATTTTTACTATATCCACGTACAATGACTCATTTCATTCGCTAATACACACTCTGTCTTTTTGATTTGCTCTTTCGTTTTCAACTGGAGAATGAGCTTCTTTTAAGAAAAACTTGTCGAACAACACTTTATGTCTTAACTTCCTGTTATTCCAACACAGGGCAAGTTAATCGCGGAAGTACTTGGGTTTATCAGCAGTGCAAAGTGACACAAATTAGTTAGTAATAAAAATCTTTACACTAAGAACCAATAAAGTGAAATTGATCGGATAGTCTTTCACTTTTGTGTATTATTACTTGTGCGAGGACAATATATGTGCCTAATCGAATGCTTCACACAATCGTTGCTAAAGTATATTTCCACTTCACCTCCCGTTTCTATTTCATTTCACTTCGGAATACTGTCGTACGTTGAACTATCACTTCGTCGTCTGTGATATCAGGGGGCAGGAAGTCTTCAACCATCCTTATGATCTTCAGTGTCATTTGGAAACCCATGTTTCTGATATTTCCTACTTTCTCCCTTAGTTATACTACATATCTGTTAAGACCCAGCTGTTTGTAGCTTTTCACATTGTTCCCATATGGAGGCAGCGGTTGACGGGGCCTTAAACAGGTTGTGGTTTGAAGGTCGGTCATTTTGCCGGTGGACACAGTGTAATGTAGTTTGTGATTTTTTTAACGTGATTTTTCGGTGGGCTATATTCGAGTAATGACTCCGTCGGTTGCATCTTAGGGCATTCATGTATGAGCTCAATTAGTGTTTGTGAATATAGGTTCTTTCGATGCAAACAGAGCATTGTGTTTCGCTTTCGTTGATTCGGTTAGTGTATTTTAACCACAATCAAAATAAAGTTTAGAAACAAAGACATAGGTAACTTAGTATGAACTTGTGAACCATAAGGATTGAAGCGTCTCAAATATAGTGGACCCACCTACTGCAAAAATGTCATTCGAGAGATGTGATACAATTAGCGTTCTTGAATATTTACCATGTGTAAGGCAGTAATTCTGAAAGATCTGTTTGGTGTCTCTTTTATTCTTATTTTTTCTTTTCTTGCCAGCATTACAATAAATTGGAATTTTTGTTAGGTAGTCGCACATGAGTCTTAGTGAGATTGTAGCGATAAATAAATCCACAAAATAAATTACCCTGTAAGTTTTCGACATCGCATGTTGACCACATTAGTTTTAATGGATTCATCTAGCTGAAGGCGCTCGGTCATGCATCCGCACCAGATCACGTGTGGGAACGCCGTGCTCAACATCTGCTGCAATCGCTAGCCAGATTAGATCAGACGATCATCGATATACTGTAGCTTATCGTATGTATATTCGAACCTCCTCGCTTCTGTCTTTTGATTTCACTTGGTTAGTACGCTTCACATTAGAAGGTGTTACTGGTTAAAGCGCTGTCAAACTTCGATTACCTGTGACATCTTCAAGATAATCAATTTTGGTTTCAAAGTTGTATGACCATTAATATATATTTTGTTCATACGAGATGCTTTGCCTGGTTTCTTCTCGGGTCTTTCACAGGAAGTTCTAGCTTGAGGTGTTTCAGCAGGAGATTTCGTGTGATACCAACAACTTTTTTATTATGTTCTGTGATTGGAAGTGATTAAGTTTGTAGACTCTGGAGTTAAAGCAATTAAACAGAGCAGCTGATCGGGACAGTTAGACATAACACACGATGTTTCAGCCTGGGTTTTATAGAGACACTGTTATGTTCAAGTTTTGCTCGTTCCAGTTATTGAAGTACGGTGTACCGATCTACTTGCGAATTTTGAACCCAAATAAACAACAGGACCAAATTCCAATTTAGATACCAAGTTTATTCGCAATTCACAAATGGTCGATCAAATGTCGTTCTTACAACAATAATTATAACAATTACAAACAAACCTTCAATCTTTTAGGTTCCCGGAGCAAAACTCTCAAGTACCAAGCCAAAGGCAAAAGAATCCAAAATGTCCGAAAATAATGATATAAACAAACAAGTTCAGAAGTTGGGTAAACAAATACATCCAAAAAGCACATTAGAATTATGTATATACGATATGAAGGTTGTAGTCGGCCAAATGTCTTTAGTTCTCCCGTAACAGGTACCATATCAGGATATCGTGGCTTCTGCCAGCAATGAATGATGAAGTTTCTGTTTTTAGAAGTGACTAGATGTTCTAAAATGGTATTGAAAACTGGAGCTTACTGGTTATATATATCAAAACACTTTTCTGTCAAGAAATTATCGCCCCTGTGCTATAGGAACAAATAACGTGTCCACTCGGTTGGGTTGAGCCGGCAGGTGGAGTCACTAAATAGAGTGGTAACAATGTAAGTCAACCGGTAATGACATTTAAGTCTAATAAGATCTGAGCTCTCTATACTAAAACTTCATCTTTGAGTCTGATTATACACACATCAAGATGGAGCGAATTTCTAAAATATAGGGTTGGGTTTTCTCTATTAAATTTTGCACAATGGTTACTTCGCCTTTTGGGCGGTAGTTCTTGCAAGTATGAAAACACTAGTCTTTTAACAGTATCTAGAAGGCAGCGAATTTTCATCACGATGGTAGGGTAAGTAGCTGCTGGCACAGAATGCAATCATCATCAGTGGCTTCATCTAGTCTTGTAGGGCCAGTAAAAAGTTCACTGAGCGGTCGACAAATAACCCGGCAGTTGGATCACTGAATTTCGAACTCTTTGTCGATCCTCGTCAAGGTTAAAAAAACCAACGCGCATCAGATAATCGTACTCCATGGATTGGCTCATGCGTAGTAGTCACTTTATCGCTTGT